AACTCAGGACCTTCTGCTTTTGAGGCAGCCATGTTGCCTCTGAGCTAAATCCTTGGCCCAGAATATATGTATTTTCAATGCCAAGGAAAAGAGGAGACTGCTGCTAAAAACTCAAATCTCAGAGGGACAGATGGAAGTCATTGATACTTTTCAACTAGAATAAAAATGAATATAATATCAGTATCTGGCAAGTTACTTTTTAAACTTTATTCTATCAGGAGAAAAAATGAGTAATTCTTAAACGTTAGTAAAATTATAAATTAGATAAAGATCTGTATCAGCTTGTGGTTTGCATTTAATATTTTCCAGCCTTTTATCCTGGCTAGAAACATAAAATTTTTCATTGTGGAGAATGAACTAGAAATTAATATAAATTAATAAGTTTTTGGTCATTCATAAAAATGTGTTATCAAGAAGCCAATGATAATATGTTCTATCAGCTTACAAAGGAAAATCAATTCAAGAAATTATGTGCTTTTACTTCAGTAGTTACCATTTTGCCTCTTTGCAACAACCATTTTAAGAGCAATGGGCATCCATTTTAAGAGTGATGGGCAACTATTTTAAGAGTCATGAACACTGGATGGTACAAAAGTTATGCCAAGCTATAATTAGGCAGATCCATTCTAAAGTTGAATCTAGAGGATCAGCTTACTTAAAACCTTAAGAAACAATACTAAGTAGATTGATGTAATAGTGGTAGAGCAGAAAATTATACACACATCCGAGGGTCTTGAAGTTGAAATTTTCTGACTTCCATGACTGCCTTACAAGAACTTTCCCTGTATGTACTTTTTAATATTTCATAGTCATAGACTTTGTAATTAATGTTTTCAATTTCGTGTCCATATTAGTAAATTTATAGTAAATAATTATGAATGTATTTAAAGTCCGAGTTGGTCTTAGCAAAGGAATAAATGGAGGCCTGATATTCCAGTTGGGAGTTTGCTGTTAATTGGGGGCATTTTTAAAGAGCTGTCTTTGATGAACTTTGCCAAGTTTTTCGATCAGTGCAAAAACAGACACAAGTACAAACTGACTGGGTTCAGAGTTGTCCATAGGAAATCGCCACCCCTACTGGAAGACTGACCTAAGGCACACCAAATGAGTATGAGCTTTGTTTTGGGAGATTTAGGTATTCCAACTCTGCATTACCATTTTCAATTACTGGGGATAGTCAAGGTTCTCCCCTACCTAGAAAAACAGTGAAATAAATCAATATTACCACTACTGCTTTAGGCCCATAGCTGACTGGATAATAAAGGAGAATATTCTGATGATGGAAATAAAACTTTCTGGAATTAAAAATAGAAATACAGCATCCAGGTAGACTTAAAATTAGACGTAGCCAGCTTTAACTTCTGTGCACACTGAGGCAAAGACTAAGGAACAAAATTTGTGTAATGTGTGTGATGACAAAAGTAACTCCCCAAAGCAAATCTGTGAGATGCCAAAGCTGTGTGACTTCAGTATCCAGTCCCTGCACTGAATGTGGAAGCCACTGCCATGGAGATTGCAGTAGCAAAGCCTAATTACCAAAGGGCCACATCCCTAGCTACGCAGAAGCCAAATCCTAAATTTCTAGAGATAATCAATCTTCCACTCTCCCCTCAGTAAATTTGGAGGCTGGAGAAATTGACAAATATATAAGGATGATTTGGGGCTGTGGTTGTGTGTGGCTTTTGCAGTCTCTTCTAATAGTCCCAAGAGTTTAGGAGTCCAAGTTGTATTATAAAAAAACCTACCTGTAACGAAGATTAAATGACAACAGAATGTTAAAAGTCTTTTGGCTCTTTTTGGTATAGTGGTTTTAACAAGGGGTGGGTTTCGTCAACCTCTCCTATCCTTTCGATTCGAGGGGACACTGGCAGTGTCTGAAAACATCTTCGGCTGTCATAACAGGAGAGGTTGAATGTGCTATGATCCAGCCAATGAAAGCCATAAAAGCTACCAAATACTCTACAAGATAGCCACTTCCTCCACTCCAAACAAAGAATTATCAGGTCTAAAATGTCAATGGTGCTGAGTTTGAGAAAACCTGAGAAGTTCTGATAAATGATGTAACAACCACACACACCTAAAGTGCAAATGCTTCTTTGATACACCATGCTTCTGAGGGGCCTCAAAGCAATGAGGCTCATAATTCAAAAGCCACAGAAGAAATGCTGGTGCAGGAATGTCAAACTTCAACTACTGCACCTGCTTAGAAAGAATGCAGCTGAACTGGAAAGTCTTCGGTATCAGGGATACCTTCCAGTAACTTTTTCAAAAACTTCAAATCAGCAGATCATTTGAAATACAGCGAATAGCACACATGCGCTGTGGTGTATTATATATCCCAAACATTCTTCAGGAAACTACTTTGGAGTTTTCTAAATAAAGTAGGAAATTTAGAGTAATACAGATCCTTTCTACTTGCAAATTTGTGTTTGATGATTTCATTGTGTTGTAATGAGCAATTTACATATTTGAACTCTGTTTGTAATTGTCACTGAATACAAGATACAGCACAGTAATTTGGTTCTAGCAGGTGCTCAATAAATAGTTAAATGACGTGAGTCCTTGAGTGAATAGATAAGAGGATGAATCAAAGTGCTCTGTAAAATGTAAAGTGCTTTATAAACACAAGGTAATGGAGTGTATAATACATAATACCACTGACCTCCCAATAACTGCTCTCAAGAACTTCTTAGGGCAAAAATGTCCCATTGGTTAAAGAACTAATCAAAATTGTGATTGCACAAGCATATTAGTTTTTAAGCACATTTAGGAAGAAATGAAACAAAGGCACATTTTAAATGGCAAAGATAAAGAGTGGTGCAAACTTGGATGGCCACAGATGGGGAAGTGAGAGAGGGGACATGGAACACCAAGTAAAAAGGTCTTGCGAGAGCGAGAACTTAAATTTGCTGGTGGTTACAGGATTAGCAGCATTCTTAAGATAGCAACATGACAGTTCCCTGTGACAATCACAGAGCAAACAGTTAGTTCCGAGATGGATTGTCTTGGTCGGTCTTAATTGCTAGTGAAATGATGTAGGCAATAAGAGCTGAAATAAAAAAGGCTGGGGAATTACTATATCTCTTCAAGCCTTGCTTTCCTTATCTGTAGAATGAACAGGTTGGGTGAAATGACTTCTCGGGATTGTGGCACATAGATGCTGATGATAAAACTGAGGGTGACGACAGGAAGGTAAAAGCAAGAGAAATCTTTTGGAAATTAGTGGAGCACATTGTGATGTTTTTCCAGAGGAAAATTCTTGAAGAAATACAAAGCAAAAGAATCTTTCACCGGAAGAAGAAAACATAACCACAGGATCTATTTTTGCAGGTAGTCTTAGATATTAATTTCTTATCATAGAACTAAAATGTCTTAAACCAAGGCAGGAATATTAGCAAAACTTTTTGTTTTATAGGCAATAGACACTAGGTATATTATATTTCTGGTGTAATATTAGAGGAACTGTTTAGATGGGCAAAAAGGAATTAAAGCAATTCTCCTGTGTGTCTGTTTGAATGAATTCGTTTTTGACACTTTCCGAAGAAATGTATTGAATTTTCTCTGCTTGTTTGATTTATTGACTATTTTTCCTTTGATTGCAAATGTGCACTACACTGGACCAAGCAACAAGCTTATATATGGATTACACTGACATAAGGTCTCAAAACACTGTACATCTATACATTTAATCAGTCTGCATAGTAATCTTGCAAGGAAAACAGGACAAAAATATTTTTATTTTCCAAAATTGCAAATTGAGACTCATGGAGGTTGAAGTGATTTTTCCAGGCTAACATAGTGGAGACAAAAAACCGTGTGAGCTCATATTCTTTTTATTACACTATAGGGCCTCTCTAAGATAAACAAATGCTTGGGCATGTACAAGAGCTACCAAATTTTCTCTCTTTCCTCCTCTTACTTTTCCCTCAAGGACAAAGAATTCAAAGAAACATCTCTACAGTACATTCCAAAAGAATGTTCTGCAGTGACAGAAGAGTCTTATGTTGTTCCACCAACATGTTAGACATCGGCCACATGAGACTGTTGGTTACTGAAAATGTGGCTGGTATGACCGAGAAACTGAATTGTCAAGTGTATTTAATTTAAATTAATTTCAATATTACTAGCTCTATGTGGCTAGTGAGTATAATACTGGGAACACAGCTGTAGATAATACATGTGAGAGACGAACAACCGTCCTAGGTATCTCCAACCAAAATAATAATGATGATAATAATTTACTATTTATTTTTCTATTTGTTAGTATATTCCCAAGGTCCAAAGCCTTCATAACAAACCAACATTATGATAAATGCCATCTAGTTGGCTTCTGATATTTTTCTTGATTTTTGAATAATTTTAATCACTATTATTTTTACAAATTAGAATGAAAGAACTAAATTCTTCTATAGTACCGTTGACCTGATTTCTCCCGAAGTTTGTTATGTGTCTCTTTGTTTTTCTTATTTTAAATTGTTATTATTCTTTCTCTATGTTCATAGAATATTGAGTAATGTGTACACACATTCTCTCATATACATATATATATATATTTTTTTTTTCAAAACTGTGGTATCCATTATAAAATTTCCTGTAACTGTGTTTATCCTTTCTTTGTAGCAAATGAGCACCAAGAACAAACCAGAATGACAAATAGCATGAAAAACAGAATGACAGTCTCAGGAGAGAAAGGGACTAAGCTGACATTTCCCTTGCTACCTGAGGACTCATATACAGCAAACACTTCTCACTGCCCTGAACTTTTAGTTCTCCTAGGAAGTTTCCCCAAACACTATGAGCCTTTTTACTTCTAGTTTTTCCCTGTTAATTGGTGCTTTGGTTCTCTAAACAATGCAGAATTTTGTGCACTGAACAGAATTATCAGTTCTTTTGAATTTAACATGAACAATAAGCTCTGAAGGGTGTAAAGACAACATTAATATTTGAAATATGTAAGTAGGCAGATATAGAGGCAAGATATTTGTATGACTGCCATTCAACTGCTGTTGGAAGCCTCATCTACCACAAAAGCCCATGAAAGAAGCATCATTTTATCCTAAAAGGAAGTCGTCTATATGTCCTTACATATGCTGAGAATACCAGTTGCACCAGTCATGTTGGCAAGTCGTTTGGTTATTATTCCAAAGAGTAAGTTGGGATACTTCACATAAACTGAATGTAGCCACAGCAGAGAGGTGGTCATCACATCCTCAAATCACTTTGCTTTTCAATGTTCCTTTTGCCATTATTAACTAAGCAGTTTAGGAAAGTTACCAGTCTCATCAGATACGTAACAACGTAAAGCAAAATATCCACTGACAGAAAATAGCCTGTGATGACTGAGTGTAGCACTCTGTTAGTGGATTAATGCCGTCTGATGCAGACATTGTAGGCAGACGGCAAGCCGTTAGGGAAGTGCTACTTTGGAGACATGGCTGTGTTTTGAGACCTGAATCTGCAAATGTGGAACGCTGTACCGTACAAGAACCAACAGGACACAGAACAGAGAGGTCCCCAGGTCAGGGTGTGGATGAAATTGTACACATAGTGCCTACATGGGAACCACTTTCCTCCTCAAACAATGCCTTTCCTTTCTTCAGTCATGGGATATTTTCCAAAGCTGGCCTGTGATTACAGGGCAAATGGCTGCTCCATCTGAGGAGCTTTTCTCATCTACTTCATTTCGGCAGGGAGGGAAGGGGTTGATGTGAAGGAAGGAGTGGATCCAATAGGCAGGAAAATGATGGGCACTGCAATGAACTGAACCATTTTGCCACGTGACATAAAAATATTCTAATATTAAGGATTATTTTACAACTCTGTGGAAGTAATACAGCGATGCATCTTGCATTTGTTTTGTCTTGATGACAAAATGCACTCTTAGAGTCACAAGAGCCTGCCTTGTGTTAGTTATAAACAAAAATATATTTATATATATAGAGATTTATGTAACTACTATGTACTTTAAAGAAAATTACTGTATGACTCAGCAGGGTTCTTTCATTCTTTTATCACCAGGGATATATTGACTTGAATGGCTTCTTAGACCGGAACTGACAATGAAATGGGCTTTTCGTATTGAAATGGCAAAACGTTGAAAAACCCCGTGTTTAAAATCCCTTACCATTTTGTCTCATAACAACGATCAAGGAATTCGTATCATTTCCTTTTCTTTCCATCAGCCAAGAGCAACTGTGGCTTCACGGGACTTCCCAGGTGGGAGATGGAAGCAGTGCTTCTTAGACCCACAGAGTTTTTATCCTGAGGCAGGGGATGGAAAGCCTCATTTACTAACCCTTCCTTCCCAATCCTCAGCTAAAAGTCAGGAAATGTCCCAGCTCACAGAAACGGCACTCACTCACTGCCAAGGGAGAGGAAGGCATATTTGAACTGCATGTACAGATGAAAGATTCATCCCATAAAGTAATGAACTTGTCGGGATAGATGGATCTAGAGCAGAAATAACAAAATCCTTTTGCCACATGTCTGTTTGGAAAAGACAGAAAAATCTCTCATATTGTGTTTGGTTTTGCCTCTGCATGAGCTACGGTTCTCAGTACACAGGAAACATTCATCCCTGCTCTTTTGAGGAAAAAGGTTCCGGCTTGGGAACACAGATATCTTTGAGACATCAGATAAGAACATTTGAACCAAAGTTGTAGATCCCTTGTGAACTAAAGCTTTATTATTATTATTTTATTTTTCTCGATCCCTTTTCAACCCTGCACCTAAGCCAAAAAGCACTGCAATGTTGTCACACTTCTGGTGAGTCCACAGGAGATGTTCTAAGTGAACTACGACACCATTCCTCTAGGGAATTCTATGTTCCGTGTAAATGGCATCCTGCATAAGTTTTAGTTTTTCTTTTACCCTTCCTTCTCCGGCTGGGCTTGTCCAGAAATCTTGTCTTCTTCAGGCTACAGCAGCTTGGGGCACCGTTTTGTGTGTGTGTGTGTGTGTGTGTGTGTGTGTGTGTCTTAAAGATATACGCAAAATTTTAGTCTTAACACCTGTAAGCCAGTACTGGTGCTATCTGTCCTAGAAATTTTAGCACTGCTCTGATACAATAAAACCTTCCTTTTCTCCAACTGGTTCAACTTCAGCATAGGCAGGGTGTCCAGAACCTCTTCGAAACTTCATCGCGGGCCATCTGCTTGGGCGTCTCTAAAAGCGAAAATGCAAAAATAATGAGCATCAGGGTGAGATCAGAAAAATTATCAGAAAAATATAGTTGTTAACTATTCTGGGTTAACTTCTGAACTAAATTTAGTAACACATTAAACGATCTCTTTCTACCATCACAGTTGGACTTAACAATGTCCCCATCTTTAAGCCCTCGAAGCCGTGTGCTTTATCGTCACTGTGGGACTATCTACATCACAGTGGCAGGGGAGAGTCCTTTCACCACATCTGCCCCCAGAGACGTGAGAGAAAGGTTTAATGCCTTCTGCACATTTATGCCCGGAAAGCGCTCAAATACAAGTAGTCAAAAATACTATAATTAAAAAACAGAGCTTTTAATATACAGTCACTGAGACTTTCTTGTCTCTAGACATCAATTCTTCTATCATTTTACTTTGTCTATTAATTCATTCAGAATGGTAAGGCGGCTCAATTCTGCAGCTCCTAGAAATGTGCTTCCAGTTAGGTCCTAGGCCTCCTAGCAAATAACCTAAGCAAACTATCACTTCATATCTTAAGAGAATTTATTAAACTAAGTGTACACATTTATGATGTTTTGTGCTTCAAAATAAAGACATCATACTTTGAAAACAGAGTCCACCACCAGAAGATGTGGACCATCCTGAGCCTGTGAGGTTATATTGCATAGTAGACATGAGTCTTAAAATACTGCTTATTTGTATTGACAAAAAGAGAACAAATCTCCCTGGCACTTGATCTACCAAACAAACCTCCCAGGATTTACAAACAGATGTGCTGAAATGAATTATTAAGTTACAGCAGCAGAAGACACTAAAAATACATTTCACCACCACAGTGACTAGAAGCGATTCCATTTATCAAAGTGCTCGAAAGCTTGGGGTAAATAAGGCAATAAATAGTGAAGGAAGTTTATTTCTCTCTAAAGCATTTTAATCCAAAAAAGGTTAAGTATCAGTGTACACAGACTGGCATTTGGTATCTTGCTAGAATTGCCAATGACGTGCTGATGTCCGTGATTAATGGGCATGGAGGAAGTTTTTCACATCAAGTTGGAATGGATATTTGCTGCACACTGTGGAAAAATACCAATCAAGGTAACTGCGTTCTGCCTACTGACATTAAGCGCTGCTGCTTCTGTATCACTGTGTAGTCAGAATGCATTACATTTAGTAGCTAATTAAGCCTCATGAGGGAAGTAATGCTGACCAATCCTTACTGTATAAAAGAAGAACTTAAAACTAAGGAGAGGGTGGCATAGGAAAACAATGTGTCATTTATGACTGACGCCAGTCAACAGACACACATAAGCACCTCTGGGGAGACGGGTGCTGTAAGTAGCTCGCGGTTGCCCCAGTTTGGAGGAGAAAGGGTCACGGGCTGCAGTCACTGTTCACACCCACGCTCTGTTTTCTGCGACTTCACAGCTGGTCTCTTCCACAGCCATGATTGTTTCAGGCCAGCAGCATCACTAAGCCTTTGCTTCAAGCTTCTCCCTTTCCCAGGACCAAAGATCGGTCGCTGGAGCTAGCAAATATCACCCCACAAACCACACTCATTTCCAAGCAAGGCAACTTCAAGGCGGTGCTGGGACGACTCCGCAAGAACCTGAGTTCGATACCCGGTACCAAAAAAAAAAAAAAGAAACGAGTGCGGATGACAAGCGACTGTGAATGTGCTTGTGAAATTTACATTTTACTGAGCCTTTAATTTTTTGTTTTTGTTTTTGCTTTCTATAGGTGACCCACATACAGGATGTCGTTTGATAGCTGTAATTTAATAATCTACATTTTGCACAAACCCGTGATGCTAAAAATGGCAAGACTAAAATAAAATCCATCCACTTCCAAAGTTAACTCTGCCTACTGTAGAAATTACTTCTTAAAAATCAAGGCTTTATGCTTACCCCAGTATTTGTGAACATGGTTTTATTTTTATTTCAGTCTCAAAATATAACATTATTATCATGTTTGGTATTTTGTTGGTAGGTCAGGATCACTAAGCTAATAGTTTCATCTTAGGTAAAAAGACTGCAGAACTGTTGGTAATGTTTAGCATGTACTCCGTGAACTTACACAGGTCCATGAAATTACATTCAAATGTTGGGCAGTGAGGCTTCCTCAACACAACTTATTTTCAGAAGGATTTACATACCCTTAAAGAGAATTTCTCTTTTTTTGTCACTCATTTTAGAAAAAAAATCCAACAAAACATAAATAACTCAACAAAATTTAAAACACCCGGACCTCTCCTCCATGATTTATGGCTAAACTACCTCTGTACACCACACATATGCTTCCGTGACCAAAGGCGAACAGAATACAGTGGGTATAATGCCACCACAAAAATCACTCAAGAGTGCTTTTTTATTCAGGCAAAACTGAAAGCTGACATTTACTTCTACAATATTTTACTAAATTAAAAGAAAGGGCAATGTCCATACTACTACTGTATCTTAAAACTTACATAGGTTGAATACCCTGAATCTGAAAATTTGAAATCTGAAATACTTCAAAACCTGAAACTGTTTGAGCATCAATCTGGTGCCACAAATAGAAAATTCCATGCCATGTAACTTTGTTTCATGAATAAAATTATTTAAAATACTTGAAAAATCCCTGCCAGGGTACATGTAGAATAAGGTACATATGAAACAAACGAATTTTGCATTTGACTTCAGTCCTACCTATGAGATACTTCTAAAATCCATAAACAATAAAAAATTATGAGACACTTCTGATCCCAAGTATTTTCAATAAGACATACTCAGCCTGTAATGAGATGTAACAAATGCCATGCAACTGGAGTTTTAAAAGTTTGGCCTTATTTTACATTTGTTTACAATTCTTTGATGACCCCATCTTATCTCTGAAAGTGCCCAACACATTATAACAGCTTCAACAAAATTCTGTTTTCTTTATAGACTATTTTCACAAAGAAGCAGGCAATGTCATCACATATCACAAAACAATCATGTGATTGTGAAGAAATTGTTCAATTCTTCTGGGGCTCCATTTCTTCTTCTGTAGAAAGGCTCAAACGTGTCCTCTAAACCCTTAGGGTCATAATTCTTCCTTGCCTGAGACAATTGACTTTAAACTGAGGGAAAAGACCATAACTAAAAATAGAAACAAACCCTCTACGCTGCAGTTCTAGTCATTGCTCCTCCTTCCTCACTCTATTAATTTTTATAATTCTTAAATTTAAGGGGAAATTATATAAATTAGCTCGAACTGAAATTGCTTTTCTATGTCTCTCTGCAGCTGATCAGAGAGCTGTATAAATGAAAATAATAAGTAACTGAGCCTTTTACAGAGCAAGTATGTAGTTCTCATAGAAAAGTCCTTAAGCAGGGTGCTATAATGTGCCACTCAGTAGACCAGGAAAGGGATGGACTGAGGACTTGGAAACATCATTCTAGCCTTGCCACAACCTTGCTAATTTATATGATCTGCCCTTTTAGGGAAGGGAATATACTGAACTTCTTTCTTGAGGCTTAAGACAAGTTCAAATCTGTGTTCTTTTTGAATGCCTAATTCAAATTGGTACAGAAACTGATGGAGGCCACAGGGTCACTTGCTAACAGAGCAGGATGTGGCTAAAAATTGCAGAATTCAAAGCAGACCGTAGTGTTAATTCATTACAGAGCTTCAGGATGTAATGCCCTCAAACATTATTGGGTGTAATGCGTGGGTGATCTTTAATTTCATTTCTGAGAATTATTTATGTGATTAATCACCTTCAGAAGAAAATGTTCACAGAGCTATGTCGGCACTGGGGTGGGCAGTGCAGCAGGAATTCTCCCTAATTACTCCTTTAGTGCTATTAATTGAACAGTCATCTAGATTTGTCTCAATGGTCCGTGGCAAGATAATTAGCCACAATATCCACAAACAAACCTGTAGGGTCCCCTCAGTCACAGGGTACACAGGCTGCAGCTGGAAACTTCTCTTCCACTGCAGAATGCAAACAGATAGTGCCTTTTGTTGGGGTGGATGAGCTTTTGAAAGGAAGTTACAGGCAGGAGTGCAAAAGAAAACAGTACTAATTTTGAAATTAAAGGCCAAGGTAAAAGTCAGCTATGGTTCAGGGAGGGCCTTTGTCAAGTAGGTGATCTGAAATTTCCATTATTGTGTGTTGTTTTCCTCAATGAGGGACTAGGACGTGATGGGGTGACCCTTCCCCCATAAGACTCTGGCAGAGTCATGAGTCTTTGTTACTCAGTTTCCTCATCTGGAAAATGATAGGAACTTGATTACTGATTGTTTTCAGATTGTCTTTGAAATTTTAAAGCTACAGACCCCCCCCTTTTTTCCCCCCCTAATAAAACCTTACCTGGAGCCACACAGGAATATATGAATCCTATCCTTTCTTACAACATGTCTTTGGAACCAAAGAGCTAAACCTGCATTCCTTAAACTTGATGCTGTGTGAAAATCACAAGGGATCTCGTTCATGGGAAGATTCTGGCTCGGGAGGTTTGGAGGAGGCCCAGGGCTCTGCATTTTTAGTTGCTGCTGTTTCAGCATCACAAATGCACACTTGGAAGAGTAAACATAATGATTGTTTAGGGTCTCTTCAAACAGGTAGAAGAAAAAAACCCACTGGATTCCAACCTTCCCTGTGTTTCCAGCAGGAATTGAACGCACAATTCGTACAGCCAGGCTTTTCCGTGTTGCCCTGAGTCAGCTTTTTCAATATTTAGCTTTGATAGAGGTTCACTATTCAGAGGAAAGGCACTGCTCATCATTCTCACACCGCAAAATAGAAATTATTCCCTATTTTCATTACTTTGTGTCGAAATATTTTTTCAGTCTTAAAAAGTAATGAGGCTCCGTTTCCAGATTCAGCAAATTCAGAAAAAATGAGTCCTTTAAAAAACAAAGTGAAACTGTACTTCATGGACTTTCATAGAGAAGTGACTCATCTTTTATTTGAAATTCAAATGTACCTAAGTGTTCTAGATTTTGGCAACCCTGTCTATGGGGAAGCACTTCGCTTTG